GCGTGACAGTCTATTTAACAGAAGGTACAGTACAACGCGGACTCCCAGTGCGGACACGTCATATTGGCTCTCTGTCAAGCTGATGTCGTCGTTCCTTTGGCGACATATTCTCTGCACATCGATATATGTGTTACTTAAAAATGTCTGATAAGCAACTTTCAGAAGTGCTGGACTGGTTTATATCAAAGCAGACCAGGTGTAATATATCAAGGGCTTTTAAAAGAGTATGTGAGGAGATGCGGTTATACAATGTGCTGCTTTGTGTGTACAAATTAGGGATCCACATACAATTTATCAACCTCAAAACAACAGACAGACCATCAAGTTGTGTCTATGGATGTTGTACACACAGTTTGTGCTTTAGGATTGCTGGTGTTGTGAATACAGACATTACAAATAGCTCTGAGCTGCTGTGAGCAGAGATGTTCACACCTGATGCTGCACTTGTTGTCCTCTGTGCGTCCACATTGAAAGGGCCCCTCTTGGTATGATTACATGGTGCTCCGTCTGGTTTACCTGACCAAAACTGACCTGTCAGACAATGTAGCTCATCCGTTTTTTAATTTCAGTTTCTAAACGTTCGCTGTAAGGTCAGTCCATGTTTTTTGAGCTTTTCGAGCTTCAGTAAACATGTAAACAAAAAAGTAAATCATCCATGCAAAGATGCAAAATGACCTCCCAAACGAAAAGGCCAGAAAATGTCTAAATCTACCGTTAGAAAAACTGTGGAGTAAATATTTTCAAACGTTAGCAAACCATGTAAACTTCTAGTTTCACAGAAAGGGCTGACAGCTGCCTTCACTTTAAAGTACATCTGTAGTTCAGCACAGACAGAAAGTAGCGAAGTATCAGCAGTAGCTCTAATGCCTAAATTGTTTTTATTTATTTCACCAGGTTATTACCGTTAAGATTTAATATCTCTTTCTCGAGAGCGTCCTGGCCAAAACGGTAGCAAAAGAAGTTTCACATAAAAGTGCAAACCACAAACTTAAAACAAAACAGCACAGAGTTAAAAACAACAAAAGAGCAAGTTAGCTTACTGCTGTAAATCAATGGAGTGAAACAGAACACTGTAGGCTATACTTTTAATGACCAACAGCAGTGGCCAGAGGCATTACGATTTTGGGTTGTCCGTCCCATTGTCGTGTACGCGATATCTCAAGAATGCTTCGGCCATCTCTTCAAACATTCACCTGGAACTCGAGGGGGAATTGATGACATTTTGGGGGTTTTTGGCCATCACTCAAGAATGAGTATGCTAATCATGACAACATTTCACACAAATAGTCTAATCGGATACAATGGTGAAGGGATGGCATTTTCTATCCAAAAGGTCAAAGATCAAATTCAATGTGACATCATAAAGCTACATGAAGCTAAATACCTTTATGGTCATTATTCAACGCCATAACTCAGGAACAGAAGGAGCGATTGTGGCCATATTTCGCATTTGGCTGGATACTGAATTGATGACACTAAGCTTAAAACTGTGGGGAATGTATAGAGCTTCAGTGCTGTTGGGTTGAAGATGTGAGAGAAGGATCCACGTTTTAGAATTTAAAGCTTCTTTGCAGCACCATCCATATTTGAAGCATTGTCCGCTATCATGGCTACAACTTTGTGTTCAATTAGAATCGGCTTTATTGGCCAAGCATGTTAACACATTTGGAGCCAAGGTACTAGTATGAGATCACCCTCTTCACTTACTCTCCCTGGATGACAACCAGGACAGGCTGTTCCTTTGGTAGCTCGAATGCTTTCGCTGATATTGAGCTTCAGGTGATTGTCGTTGCACATGTGATGAAGCTCTCTATCGGTCCTCTGTACTCTCCTCTAAAAATAGTCCCTATGTGAAGACGGCATGTTCCTCTCTGTCAATGTAGTGATAACTTCAAATTTGCCAAAAAATACACTTAAAGTTACAGTGTAAAGGATTTAGCAGGATTTATTGGAAACGATTGATTGTGATATTCATAATTATCTTTTCATTGGTGTATAATGACCTAAAACTAAGTATCTTTTTTTGCTAGCTCAGCATGATCTTTTTATATCTATATATGAAGCGGGTTCTCTTCACTGAGTCCGCCATTTTGCACCGCCATGTTTCTACGGTAGCCCAGAACAGACAAACTCTGAAGGCCTGCGTAGTTCTCCCTATGGAAAGGGAGGAGTGACAGAAGGGTATTCAGTTGGATACAATCTGCAACCTCACCACTAGATGCCACAAAATCTTACACCCTGCTCCTTTAATTCCTTTTAATAAATTACTTTCCAAGTCTACATAAACTATATCAGTCTGGACAGACATGGATGTAAACTGCAACTTGACTGGTTGGCAGAGGCATAAAACCACAGGGCGGTAATTCTAGTTATGTTTATCTCTTTGTCTCCGTTTCTCTCTCTCACTCACACACACACACAGACACACACACACACACACACACACAGAGCACATGATTTAGGCCACAAACAGATACTCTGTCCCCTCCTAACACTCAAGAGAAGTCAGAGTGTCACACACAAACATGTACTCTGCTACAGTGCGGACATTGTTCTCCTTTGTAATCTGACCATCTTCTGACATGTCTATCATGGGTACCGGTGCCAGCTGAACATTTCCCAATTAGTTCTGGAGATCAAAATTGCGTTATTTAAAGTAATATGAAGTATGTTGGGATATGAGCAATGGCAGCATTAGATGGAGTGATAATTAAAATCCTGAAAATTAGGTTTTCTCAGCTAAATGTTTTAGCTTTCAACTAACACTAAGTCACAACACTAGGAGTGCGGCACACCTGCAGTCTGAAGGCCCTCTCAGCTTGTCATTTCGTATCTGTGTTTGAGAAATGTAATGACACAGTCTATTATGCCTCTAGACTTGAACTGTCCTGCTGTGACAGCTCGTTTGCATAAAGAGAGGAAAGGATGTGTGAGAGTGTCTTGATTCTTTCTGAAGTACAGTTTCATGCTCAGGTAACATTGATGAACACATTCACAAACGCAGCTTGCGGTAGGTACTGTATATTCAGACCAGTCTCAGCAGATGATTACAGATTAGTCCACCTCAGATAAGCTCCTCTAACCCAACACCAAGTTCACACTTGCGCGCAAGGACAAAACTGAAGAAAACTGTCAAGTAGTGCATCAAAATTCAAAGATAACAAATACAACTTTATTTACAACCACCTATAAAAAGCAAACGGTACAAACCCCTATTACCACAGATCACATACTACTGCATACAAACAGAGAAAGAGATTATCTCTTGCAGAGTATAATCACCACAGTGGTCAGTTGTCTGTCGAGTTCATCCATTGCTGCTCGGCAAAAAGCAGTGAACAAAAAGTGTCTTGGCACTGTCATGTGATCTGAAGTAGTGAATCTCCATTACCTAAAAGAAAAGAGAGAATCAAGATTCCTTGAGAAATGTTGTTTCCTGTCATTGCATTTACTTTTTAAATACACAAAGAATTCACCAGCAAACCTGTTATTTCCAGTTAAATCACTGAAGGTTTAAATATTATACAAACACAATGAAATATTATGAACTCATCACTTTCTGCAACTTGCGCTGCTATTGCTTTCAGGGTGGCTCAGGTATCTCTTTGGGGGAGCTGAACACCCCCGATTTCCCTCTTCTTCAAACACCACTCTGTCAATGTTTCTGTGTGTGTGTGTGTGTGTGTGTGTGTGTGCGTGTGTGCGTGTGTGTGTGTGCGTGTGTGCGTGTGTGTGTGTGTGTGTGTGAATGAAATGGGGAATGAACAAGAACGTCGTCATTCTGGCCCTGGCCTGTTGTGATGTGGTTTGGGAAATTCTTAGTGAGGGTTCAGGCGGAGACTTTCCTGGCGCAGACAGCCGTGCGTGGGTAGTTAGCGAGGTGATCTCAGTCAAGTTTGCCTACAGTGGAGCCCCGATTCAGACAGCCAGACACCATAATGCCAGTCCATCTGTAACCCATAATGACTGTGTGCCACTGGAACCGGTCATTTTCGTTTTCGCTGCCAATTCGGCCCCTGGCGTCCTCGCCTCACAACTGCTGACTGCATCTAATGGCCTGAGTTGTTAACCTTTCTACATTTGTACTCATATGGGAAATGTAGTTGTTTAGACATTTTTTATTCGCTGGGTGTAAGTGATGGATGCGCCTCCAGGGAGGGGACTATATCTCTTCCTGCAGAGAAGCAGAGACAGGACAGAGTAAGATGTTCCCTGGGGAACAGTGCGATCTGAACCACTGGCCAGGTTACAAGCTCATGTGGGAATATAAACCCCACCCTCCTTATCCCCGCTGGCTTTTCCTCCAGCCAGGAGATTTCAACTACTGTCAAACCCAGACTGGGTGCTCTCTTAATCATCTTAAGAGCAAAGCTGGCATCAGGGCGGGTCTGCTCGAGAAGAGCAATGAAATGTTGCTCTTCTTTTTCTGCAGGAAGGGAAATGTAGACAAATTATTTCAATTAAGGTGAACATCGCTTTGTAAAATGCTATAAAGAAAATATAGACGTTAATCTATATGCAGTGCATAAAGAGAAACATCTCTATGGGGAAAATGAAGCTACAGCCAGCAGCCCGTTAGCTTGTCTTAGCGCAAAGACGGGAAACAAAAGGAAAACATATTTTGTTACTGTTGGAGAGAGCCAGGCTAGCTGGTTTCCCTTTCTGCTAAGCTAACTTGCTGCTTTCTTTAGCCTGGTATTTAACTGACAGATAGTGGTATCAATCTTTTCATCGAACGGTGCAAAACACCTGTTCAGTGAGCCTGGTGTAGCTGCTGCCCTGTCAGTGTAAAGCCGTCTTTCATTGACTTCAGCTGTGGTTCAAGTGCAGCAGCAGAGCAGATAAGGGTACACCATGTGGGTGTCATACTTTCTGAATGTGCTTGAGAACAGAAAGCAGAGCCCTCCGCTGCTTTGAAGTGCTTAAGGAGACATTGTTGAGTGTCAAGTTAACTTTCTGCCCCCCCCCCTCCCTCTCTTTCTCTTTCTGTCCTCTTGCAGATTGTGGTGTTGAAAAGCATATTGCGAAGAAGAAAAGAGTGTATACAAGAAGAGAGACTGTTGCACAATGTGCTAGGAGAGTGCGGGAAGAAATCGTGTTGTTTTTCTGATATTGTTGAGGCGTCAGAGAGACCAGAAAGGACGCAGCCATGGGGCGGAAGAAGATACAGATCACCAGGATCATGGATGAGAGGAACAGGCAGGTGAGTGTCAGAATTTTCTACCTACATCAATCCATCTATCGACATCATCACTCTATCAATCTATCCATCGATCTATATACTGTATATATATATATATATATATCTTATCTGGGGCACTTTTTTAAAGGTTCAAATATGGTTTACGTATGAATAATATAAATATTTTAATGTTAATAACTTCTTTCTTAGTTTATCTGACAAAATGCTACCATGTCCTTCCTTTTGTGTCTCAGAAAACCGTCTGCTTTGTACCTGTTTGAAGGTTACAGTCGTCTTCTATTTCCCTTTCTGCCTTGGACCAGAGTTCAGCAGCTGTCATGGTGTGCATGGATCTAAAAAGACATACCTCCCTCCCCAAAGTCCCAGCCAGCTGAACAGGGACCATGACATTTCTTTGTCAGTGTGGTCATATTTACAGACATGATTCCCCTGCCACCCTGCAATTTCAGCCCGAGAAGTTGATGAGGCAGCAGGAGCACTGGGCTGCAGCGGGGGCCTCGTGGCGTGGGAGTGAACTGAGGGCAGCGAGGAGCACAGCGGGCCGCCTGTGGCCTCCCCACACTGTAGGGCTTGTACCCTGGCCCGGCAGTATGGCTGGGCCCCTTTGCTGTAACACTATGTGTTTGCAGCTGTTTGGTAGCAATTAGAAGCAGCCACTGCACCACAGCACCCTCTCATTTGCAGGGTGGGTCAGCAGGACACACAGCACCCTTCTCTGCCTCGGCTACACTGGTCCCAGCTAGCCGCAGAGAGGGAGAGAGCTGGAATTCAGTCTGTCTGCTCATGTTAAATATAAACTCCCAAACAGCAAAACACTGTACAAAACAGCCGAGGCCTGTTTGAATCAAGAATAACAGGCTTTGATATCTATAGCAAGAAGGCTGGGTCCATTTCTTTTTTAGCTACGCTCTCTTTGATTTAAGAGCTAAGTTGAGGAAGCGTGAGCGCACTTTTTGACAAATTACACCAATTATTGAAGATGCGTAGGTTTCCCATAGCCAAATAGAACACATCTTGTTAACACCCCCTCAAAATATAATTTGCATTCTTCACAGGTGGAACAACTATTTTGCTGTGCACACAGAAATATTACAGAGCTACAGTGGTGCTACCTCTCCTGAGGGTATTACAGTAACATGATACGGTACTAGCCAATCGGTACCCTGACCGTGTCTGTGTCTGTTACTGTGAGACTAGCAGGTCAGCCAAGTGCAGACGAACAATCCATACTGTGGGCCAATTATCAGTATAACACCTGGCTCTGGGTTGGACCCAAGCAGGACAGTTGGAAGGATTCATTGCTGGTATCTACACTGTATGCAATGACCTGTGACATCAGGGGGAAAAAAGAGAGGAAATTACATGAAGAACGGTTGTCAACTGTTCGCGAGAGCATGCACGTATGAAGGGAGTGAGGGAAGACATTTAGCTGTATTGTTTCACAGAGAAGTGCACCTACAGAGAGAAACGTTGCTTATTATTAAAGTGTCTCCCAAACTCGAGTGTTTGCATCAGATTTTAAATGTCTCACTGTATAATTTGTGAGAAAGTTTATCAGCAGAACGCAGGCATTTCAGCTTGCATTTAGTTTGTTTTAGCTGGCTCAGCAGAGAAATTGCTGTAACAATAGGCTGCCCTGCAAAATACAGCTTCGGTATAAAGTGATGTATGCGTGTGTGTCTTTCTCTCTTTTTTTTTTTTTTCCCATGGGCCATGAAGCGAATGCCATATCCCTGGGGCGTGCTCCTAAACAAGGGGGAATACTCATTAGCATACGGTCCCCATTGTCGTGAGACAATTTGAATCTTTATCTACGCCGCTCTGCTGCTAGCTATCCATACTCTTAGCGTTAAAATGAAAGAAGTCCCTAAGTGGGCTAATTAGATAGTATTGCCATACACAGGATGTTATGTGGGGACAACGGGGGCCCCCTTGCATTATCACTGCAAGTGCTTTCGGAGGGCTGTTAACCTTTCAGGATTTATAACACGGACTGTGGCAAAGGCTGAGAAGGTCTGTAATTGCACAATCTATCAGGAATTGTGAGCGCAGAGTGGAGACAGGCAGTGAACTTAGCTGATATTTTGCTTCAAGTCATTACCTACGCTGTATAATGACAACACGTTTTCATAATTCAGAGTAATGAAGTGTATTGTGCACAAATGACAAGTAAGATAAGATAATTACATTTAGTCATGTGTAAGTGAGACCTTTTTGTGCAGCTTTGTGTTGACACACTGCTGTGTAGCCCTGCAGCGTTGAATAAAATGAAACATGAAGGCAGCAGAGGTCCTTTCATGCATACCGTAGGACGGTAAAGACCCAAATACTGAGCCATTTCCTTCATAAGTGATGGTTCTACAACACAGCGACACAGTCCATCAGCCAGACTGACACGCTGATTGTAAATAAATGCTATAGATAACAACCATTCAACAGCACCACCCTGGTTGGTTCTCCTCATTTACAGTAGTCACAGCAATTAATACAGTTTGACTCACAGACTTGCACGCATTTATTATACACTATTATCTAACATTCATGTTTTCATCTTCACTCTCTGTTTTACTATCATTCCCGCACAAACAATGCCTAACAGTGGAATAATATGGACCAGTGAAATGTGGCCCCTCAAAAAGAGAAAAGTATTGTGTTTTGACATGGCAGGTTGGGAACTCATAAACCGCACATCATAACAGTGGCACTTAATGAGCATTTTTTCGTGTCTTTCACCTACTTCCCCTGGATCTGCAGGGGGGGACGATGGTGGAGAAGGGAGGGCACACATTAGTCTTGAAAGTTAGTGTAGGGAAGAGGCTGGTGTGAGCAGTGTCGAGTGACGTCTTATGGATGTCATTAAGCAGGCTGGGGGTAATTGCCCAAGTCATTAAAAGTTTGATGATTTGCTGCTGGGTGGAGGGTTGCCTGCCCTTGCTGTGGCTCATTTTGGATTGTGCTCTGGCACTTCAGATGCCTGTAGGCGCCGAGCAGCTCTATCTCTCTCACTTTCTCCCCAGGGAGCAACACAGCGCATACCTCCCACTTTTCAGCCTTCACCCATTCCTGTGGTTCTGAGCGCTCATCATTATTATTTTGACAGGTAAAGAGCTTGTTAATAGACCATGGACAGAACAGAGGAACACTGTTAAATGTGACAGCCACCGTATATATTATCATTGTTCAAGATGATGTGTAGTTTCCATAAAACTGCGCTGAAGCAGCAAAACATGAAGTCAGGTGCTTGTAATTTGACTGCCGAGGGTGCACCTTGTATCACTACAATGCTCACGGATGATGCGGAATTATTTGCAATTTTATCAAAATAGCACATGGCCTCTTATTACAATTTCAGTTTTCAACAAATTAAACAAGCCAATTGTCTTTAAACTGGATCATTCTGGTTATTGATTATGATATTTCTAAGAAACCTACTTACGTTTACTTAACCAGCATGTCATCCTCTCCACTAAACAGGATCAGTCACGGCTACTCTAGGTTTCAAGGTCAGGCCCACCCAAGTAGAGGAGGCCTTTGCGGTCTCATTTGTCCACATGGGGATCCTGGGGCTGTCCTCTCTCCCAGCCAGAGCTGATCCATGCAGACAGTCGTGGTGGCCCTGGCCTGTCTCCCAGGCCCGCACACTCTGGCATCGCGTAGCCAGGGCAGCAGCCACAGGGCCCGGGTCACTCTGCCAGCTGGTGCCAGACCTCTCTGACTCTCAAGCCCGCTCTCATGTCTGCCATGGGCGCCGTCAGAGGTGACATGAGGTTCTTATAAGGCCGCTAGCTCGTCACCCCTCTGAAGGTGTTAGTGAGTCAGGCATCTCCTGCCGTACCCCAGTCACAGCTGCACTCTGAGTCCCAGATGTCTTGTTTGTCATCTTGGCACCTCTGCCTGAAGACAGACATTGATAGACCTTTTGATTGACACATCAACTGTGTTTGAACATGTGTGTTGAGGTTTGTTGTAGCATATGTTCTTATATACCATACCGTTTCATGTGGCAGACTGTCTTGTGGAGGATGGAAACAATAAATGTAGAAGTAAAAGCACGTGTGGCAGGCACATACTGTATGCTCGTGCTTTAGATTTTAGATGCATTTGTCTCAAGAATATTACACATAGATGGTTAAATATGGCATGCCCAGCTGTCGGAAACAAAATGTAATCATTTTATTTCAAAAAGCAACTAAAACTAGTAAGCACAGTTTCTCCAGAAGGCAAATTTGCAAATTGGCAATTTTTTGTAGTTTTCCCCTTGATCTTCATTTCGTCAATTCCTGTAAATCACAGTAGAATTTCCATCAGTAAACATTCCAAACTTGTATTTAGGCAAATAGGGCGAGTCTCTTATGGTATGCTTTTCTCTGCTGTAGCACCGCTCTGTGATATTTACTGATATGATTGCAGATTTCTACACAAACATTTGCATCGTGCACCATAACATATTTTTTTTTAGAGTCTTGAATGTAAAACATGAAAAACTGCTACCCAAAGTATATAAAATATACATATGAGAAATGAATTACCAAGCTCAATTAAAGCTCAGTAAAACAGGTCATGGTGGTAGGGCACTTGGGAAGAAGTTGGAAAAGCAGAAAGTGTGAATTGAGAGCAGAATTACCACCTCATCTTGACATTGTGAGAGCTTCTTAAAGGTCAGGGCTTTGAGTCTTGCACAGTCTAAATGAAATGCTAGCATAGTCACTGATCTGTCTGGTATTGAGTGAGCTGTTGTAACGACCTTATTAAAAGCAGAGAAAGTTGGAATCACTCCAGTTTATTGGAAGTTTAAATGTGGCCTCCCTTCTCTTTTGCCTTGACATTTGATTTCTCAGAACATGTGTAAGATGCACCGGTACAGCGATACAACACAGCTTTACAACACTCAGGCTAATCCTGTCTTTGTGAATTACATGAATTAGTCAGGGAGCTAGCCTCTTGCCACTCTGACGGCCCGTGTACCACATCTTACTATAGAAGCAACTCAAATTTTTAAAACCACATTGAGTGTCTTTGTGGGTGTCTTTGACTTGGTGAACCATAGGATAGCTCCGCCAGTGAACCTCCCACTTGACCTCAAGGATCTCTGTGGTTTTCCACCGTCTCACCAGTCACCCCAGAGAAGATGTGGGTGGATGGAGGTTATATTTGTGTACGTTGGTCTTTATGTTTAGAGCTGTTTTGTGTCATGACTGGCCATACTCTAACAAAAGGAGGCAAAACTGTATAAAATAGCCTCCTTCGTTCACTGTTAAAGGTAACTGTATGAGTACAGAAGAGCAATGTGGTCGCCACCTTTAATGGCGGTGTGAGCAGTAGCTGGCTTTTGTAGAGGTACTGTGTTTGGGGCTGGGGCAAGGACCAAGTCTCCATGCTGCTGCTGAGGTTGAAATGAAGCGGTGCCTGGGTCAGCAGCGCTGCACTCAGCACTCTGCCACGCATCCAGGTGGAACAAAGTCCTCGCTCAGCGTCTCATCCTGGGCTTCCTGCTGAAAGGTGACATCTCCATGGCTTAACAGCCACATTCATCTACTAAAGAGCATACAATTTGTTAATCATTTTCCCACATGACAGTCCCTGCTTTCCAGTTGGTTAGGCGGACAAAACAAATATGCAAGCAGGCAAATGAGCGGGTGGGCAGCCCTGGTGTTTAGTCAGGGGAAACTAGTGTCAGCTGGTTAGAACTGCAGGTGCTCTAGGTGGGTAGAAACGGCCCTGATTCTGGTCACATCATATCCCCTTATCTTCCTCCATGCAGTGAACCACCTTGAGGAAATCATCAGAAAGACAAAACCCTCCCATGTTTTTTCTGTTCCACCGAACTCACTCAAAGGCTTTATGTGTCTGCCATTTGCAAGGAAACATGTCACTTGATTGAGCTCGTATTTAAACCTCGTCATTTTACGAAATGTCATTTCAGAATCTGGTTTGTCATACGAGCTCGGCTAACATCGGTGCATCGAATAGAAAATGACACGAGGACAGGCTCCTCCATGTCTAGAGTGGGGATAATAGTCCTGTGTAATTACCTGTAGTGTGTACGATTTGAAATTCATTTATCACAGTTGGAATGACCCCACTGTCTGAGCGTTACATAGACACTATGCAACACATAGGATTATACTGCATTATACCAGTTAAAATGAGGGTATAGCCGCAAGCTGTGTCCAATTAAAGTTGAACAAAGCCAGCTCATCTGCTCAACTCCTCTCTTAGTAGGTCAGTGAAACTGATGGAGAATACAGACACATGCACTCCTCTGTGGCTCCGAGCACAGCTTTTCACATTCACAAGCCACACTGTATAGTACACATTTGACAAGATACATGCATTTTTAGCTTGAGAAACGACTGTAGCATACTGTAAAGAGGTGGTGTCACATGATGACGTGTGTGTGTGTGTGTGTGGGTCTGAAGCGACCACAGAGACAGAGCTGCAGAGATACAGGACATAAAGTCACTATGCAGAGAGGGTTGCGTTACCACTGGAGTGATGTATGACCCAAAGTCCCATCTGAGGGCTCATGTTACAAGGCTTATGCTGCACTACAGAGATAGCTTTCCGTATATGGAGTCAGGGGCTACAGTAATGTATGGACCCCTGTTGTTGCCAAAGCTCTGACTCAGCTCGCTGACTCGTGCCTCTAACCCTGACCTCTGTTCTGATAACTAGACATTTCAGACTTGTACTATGTCATTGCAATCATTCCTAAAGGAGGAATGATCTTGGTATCTGTCACCTTGGTTAGCATAATTGTTGTAGTATAATGACACTGTTAATATTGTTATTTAGGACTTAAGTTAAGCGTCTTAACTTATGCTAATTTTAAAAAGTTAAATTTCAGCCTAAAGCAGCTCCACATTTTTTCTTAGAGCAAGTTGCCACCACAAGTATCAGCTGTGTATGTACATTTACTGCACATAGTACAATTTTTAAGTACCTGTAATTGCAGTATTTCCATTTTATGGTATTTTTTACTTACTTCTACTCCACTAACTTTGAGTGAAGTACTACATTTTTTTGCGGGAGTATTGTTAATCTATGGTATTGTCACTTACAGTAAAGTAAAATATGTGAATGCTTCTTCCACTACTGATAATTGTGCAATGAACATGGATTTGGAAATGAATAAACTACTTCCTTCTGTTGCAATAAGAATCCTAGATTAACATTTACACTTGTGAAAATTGCGTTAACAAATGTATGTTTTGTTCACTTGACTTTGATCTCCTTTTTAATTTTGAGAAACAGTTTCCCTCTGTAATGGATGCTTGTGTTTTCTGTGTGCTCCTCAGGTTACCTTCACAAAGAGGAAGTTTGGCCTGATGAAAAAGGCCTATGAGCTGAGCGTACTATGTGACTGTGAGATAGCCCTCATCATTTTCAACAGCACTAACAAACTGTTCCAGTATGCCAGCACAGACATGGACAAAGTGTTGCTGAAATACACAGAGTACAACGAGCCCCATGAGAGCCGAACCAACTCTGACATTGTAGAGGTGAGTGAGCGTCGCCTTCTTGCTTTGTGGGGAAAAACCTCTTTCACATCATTCCTTTTCCTATTTTTCTCTTCATTACGATTTGACATACAAAACTTACATTCAGATTTAACAGATTTAGACTAAATTAATTATTTTAGTGCTGGATTAAGACTATAAGATATATTTCTTCTGTGACTGTACAGCTCTGTAAATGCTCCACGGGTGTAATGTTTTAGACAAACAAGAGTGAGGAACAAGTAACAGTTTCCCTCTTAGTCACCATTCAGATAGGGCACAGGAGGTCTGCAGTCTCTGATAAGTTCAGCTGCTCTCGTGTGGCCATCAACTGATGTGGAGAACCTATCTCTGCGCATGCATGCCACAGTAGCTGCTGACCACCACTGTTTCCCATAGATATTGTACCTGTAGGGCTCAGTTCTCTGGCTACTCCTCATCACAGACCGTCAGCTTGGCTATAGCTGCAGTGAAAATACAGTGTTTAGTACATTCCATACTGCTCTGTAAAACTCAACAAGCACTTGGGTTTTCTGGCAGCTCCTGCGTGCCCGGCGACTAGCGGAAGAGTAAACCACTTGTTATGCCAGCATACAAAACTGTCAGCCAAAAGTGTAGAAGCCAAAGTAAATGAGAATGATTAGGGATGCATCCTGTTCCAAACATCTTTCATTGGCACACACTTGTGTGGTTTCTCGGCTTATTCAAGATGTGCTTTAAGAGGCTGGTATCTCCATTCTGACTAAATGGAAGCATATACAATGTATGTTAATGCCTATTGATAAAAGCCTGATACTGCTAATATGTAGTTGCCCATTCATTTTAATAGCACTTATTTAAAATAAGATTAGCTTTCTCTGCACTAGGATACGTTTTATTAGACAATGCAGCCTGCTGCATCGCAATTCTCCGGTGTCTTTACTGCCACCTAAAACAAACTGCATTTTTTTTTTTACTGATACTCAATTAAGAGACGTTAAAGGATTAAGATGGGTGAGATTGAAACATTTCAAGAATCCTAGCTTTGGAAAAGACTTTCACTTGGAGGAATTAGTGAAATTACATGCGGCATAAAGGAGTCAGCTGTGGCCCATTATCTTTTATTCATGCTGCTGCTGCTTGTGAATTACCTGCTTGGCAGAGCTGCAGAAGAGTGCTTTGGCATCCAGTAGACTCATGCAGTCACTCCTCCATCAGGGGCCCTCGGAGCAGAGCAGGGGCTCACCTGCATAAAAAATACATGGATACATTCCTTACTTACGTAACAGTGACCACACATTTTCGTCTTTTTGCCGTGGCTCTGAAAGCTGTCTTACTTTAAAGAAGCAAACGCAACAGCATCTTATACTCTTGAGTCTTCATAGGGGTTTGTCACTGCCTATCAGTTTGGTCTTTCCACTTATTTCACATATGTAACATGAATCTGTGGTCTACCAATGTATGTTTATGTTGACAGTGTGGTGTAATTGGAATGTACATTGTACATAAAGTAGCACCAGTGGTCCCATGCTGATCTCCCACTTAGCCCTTCTGGCTACTCTCAAGGAAGCTGCCCCGGTGCACAAAAGGCGAGATCAAGCCGCTTTTGTCCCCGCTCGCTCGGCCAGCATCTTTGCACATATGCACAAATGTCCCTCTGCCTGCTGGCTATGTGGTCAAGGTTCAGAAGTGAGGAAGCAGAGCAGAAGTAACCAACCCAGTCCAACTCGCAGCATCACCACACAACCCTCACATAGCCGTTGTCGGTGGGGGTTCGTAATCTAAGAGATTTTAACATAATTTAAGAGAAATTCTGATCTGAACTGTTTTCCCCGACTGCCTCTTTTGGCAAAGACTTCTTTTCAGCCTTTGAGCTTCTCTACAGCTGCACAGATCCTTGTGCACTACACGGAGGAGCTGATGCCTTATTTATGGCAAGAATCCAGCCCTCCTCCATTTATCTCCTGAAATGGGTCTCACATGAGGACACTTACACTGGACACTTATCTAAATGTTTTAATTGTGTTAAACCCATCCTATGCCATGCAAACAATCATGTGCTCATTTGTCCGGTACGGGAGGCCAGAAAAACCCTCTCCCGCTTTTCATTGGGAAGCTCGTTCGGTGTGAGAAACTAAATCAAAGGTCACATTCCTGCTCAGTAGTACCATCTGTAGATAAAGGCTGATCTGTGCAGTGTGGGAGAACAGTCTCCATGTTTTCCACAGATGGATGCATGCCTGGGCCACAGTTTGATAACTCAGTGGAGGGCTATGGACTTTGTCTCAAACTTGGCTCGTAGTCCAAAGCAGAGCAGTCGGCCCAGGTTTCTCTTCTATGTGTATGTTGGTGTGTGCGTTTGTCTGCGTCCGCATGTGTTGACAGCGTTAACCTTACCAACACTCCAGGCGACAGGTGAACTGTTGTATGAAATCTCTCCTCTTATGCATTCACCTGTGTGTACTTCTTAACAGTATGAAGGTGAAATATTATTGTTTGAGTTTTTGTGACTGTATTCGTTGTCTTTTCATCATATTGAACAGTACATACAAACCCCTCAACACAGATAGACGCACACATGTACAGACAAGGTATAACACCAATACATGTTCGAATGTACTTTGTAAAAAATACACATTTCTGTATCTTTATTCGTTTGTAATGCAGAAGAGCAACACACTCCTGTCTCAAGATCATACTTATCAACATACTATAATTTCTCTGGAAATAAATGTGGTATTTATTATGGTTGTGTTGTTGTGAACCAAGGAGAGTAGGCTATTCATGCCAGAAGGTTTGATGGTGTTGTTCCTATTGTGTTTCTTATTGAATTCTGTGCCACAAATCCAAATGCTGCCGTTGGTCATTAGATTAATCTAATAATATTTACTCTTCCTCCACTCTCCGCTAGTGGAGCTAATGAGATTTTGCTCATGCTCTGCCTAACCTCACACCGTTCTCCAGCACACAGAGCGATCACTGTGTCTGTGGAAGAACCCTTGAGATCAGATTTTTACTTCACATGCATCGTTTGGCATTTATCTGTCGTTTCTTTGAGCAATTCAACACAATTAAGGTATATGGCATATAATAATCAGGTTTGCAGGCATTAAGTCAACACTTAATTGTAATCTTATAACATCAGGGCTGTGAATAGGCTTTAACCCAGTTTGAGAATGCAGTTTTAGTGAAATACCAATGCCGCGTAATTGTAAATAACTGGGCAGCACCATATGCAAAGCATTGACTTTTCACTGCTCTTTTTATGTCTTTTACCCTGATGATTTGTGAGAGTAAACAACATTCATAGGGAAATTCTGCTTATCTTCCGCATAATAAAGAGGGGCGGCCATTGTTAATGTGACTTGGGAAAAAACAGACAATCCTCTCTCTATTTATGAAGGAACGCCCCCTCTCACAAGACCACTACAGTGAGAGGAAATGAGACAAAAATGATCAGCTAATTTCCATTAGGTTTTATCTCATGATCTCTATCAGCTGTTGTTATGAAGGGAGCTGTATTAATCATTCAGTAAGATATGTAAATTTTGACCATTACTGAATGTCAAGCCCTGTGTTTTCAACTGAATCTATTTTGTTTTCAAGACTGCCCTTTGCCGATTTTACATCGACTAAAGCAACACAATCATCACAACTAAGAGTTCAATTTGTCATCGTGTGCCATATTCTGTAGTTGATTTACTTTGACCAATGAAGACAATCAATGGATTATTCCGCTGTGCTTCAAAGTGCATTTTCAGCGACGTACAGCTTAAAAAGACAGATTTTATTGCCAGTTATGGAATGAACCCTATACAGTGCTTTGGGCTGAACGTGCAACATGAGTTTCCGACAGGGGGTGTTTATGTTGTCAATCAAAGGCTGAGCGGTGATTAAGACTCATTTCTATCTTAATGAATGCAAATTGGCACATCTGCTATGGTGGGCTAGCTGTCCAGACTCGTCAATTAGCATGATTGATCAATTATCCTCCTGCTGGTGGCTCACTGGAAATGGAGGCTGGGGAACGAGAGAGGTGGGGGTAGGAAGAGAGATAAAAGAGCATGAGAAGAAAAAATGAACAGAAAACTGTCCAAAAATGAATGAATCAGATGCTTTATTTGATTAGAGTCAAGAATAATGGAATTTAATTTTACTCAAAGAGGCCTCTCTCTTTAACACACAGTTCTTGAAAATAGACGAGATGAGTAAAATTGAAAAAGACGTAATTTTATCGTTGTTTTTTTTACTCTTTTGACAAAGACACGAATCCAGTTTGGCACATAAAAGCGGGCAGGTTAGAAATCAGAAGGCGATATTCCTCAGATTAAAACAGAGAAATACATTCAGTGTATTATTGCAACAAAGTTTTTAATAGGTCATGTGGCTCTGAATGTGTAATCATGACTTTTTTTCTACTTCATTTGTTGTTTTTTTGTATTGCATTTCCATTGTGATACATCAACTTTACATGAGCAAAAACTCAATTTGCATTTTAAATAATGCGTCTGATTCTCCATCAGCAGATTTCCTGATCAAATATTCCTGTGAGAAATGAGCTTCAGCCATGCAAATATTCAGTAGATCGGTACTCTTTCAACTCTGAAGTCTGTCGAGGATAGTGTGGTGCGCAGCTTGTTTGTGTTTGTTTTAACAGTAAGCACAAATCCTTGAATATCAAAGCACACTGGTGAGACTTATCTGAGTAGCAGAGGCATACTGTCTTCTGTGTGTATTTATAATTGTGGCACAGAAACATAACAGGACGGTCAAATGAGGCTCTTACAGGGAAACTGTCGCTCGCTACCACCATGTTCTCTAATGCAATAGAGAGTATTACAGCAGCCTTATAGCTAGTGTAGCCGTGAAGGCAGCAGAGAATTTTTTGTGTAAAACTTTCTATGATAGTAAACTATAATAATGAGTCTTTTTGTAGTTTTGTATTATGGTATATAAATAATAAAATAACAATATCTGTCAAAACTGATTTGGACGTTTAAGTCAACTAGTAAAAGGTTTATTTA